GGAGCGCGATGCAGCGCAAATTGGGGTTAGAGAGATGTAAAGAGTGACACGTTAGCTAGCAACTGGGGCTGAGGCAGCCAGCACCGGCGACTCTGGGCTGTCTGGGTGAATCCCAAATGCCCTGGCTGGCAGCTTCCTGACATCATTCTGCCTAATTAACGTCGAACTTTGGTCTGGTTCCCCCCCAAGTACCCCCATCCCCCCAAATTTTTTATTGGGTTATTCAGTAAATTAGTCCTCAGATTAGTCGACTAATTGAAAAAATTATTACCAGATTAACCGATACAAATCGTTAGGTGCAGTCCTAATATTTGGCATCAGATTGTTGATGAGTGTGCATGTAGGGGAAAAAATTAATATATGTATAAAATGTTCTGCACTTAAGAATACCACTATATGCCCGTGTGACGTATGGATTAATACAGACAGACACCCAGGAAAGACGCGTTTCCTGCTCTTCCTCCCTCCTCCTTTGCACGTTCAGCTTCCCTTAATCAGACTGCAGGGGGCAGTAGGTAATTGTGTAAAACGGGATCTAAAATGAGATGAAGTCAATTAGCCACACGTCTGCTTTCTGCTCGTGGAGCGCTCATTTGGGATTGCCACTCTTTCATTTTTTTTACCCCCATTGCCGTATCGCTGATATCAGCAATAATGCCGCAGTAATGTAATGCTTTTCGTCTGATTTTTGCATATTTTAATAAGATTATTTCCCCTTTTCTATGGTTTTCAGTTAAAAGGGAGATAATTTAGGGGTATCTCGATACCGGGTCAACATTTTCCGAGTGAAGTTATTTACATGTTAAAACGCGGAGGTTTGCTCATGCCTGCGTTTGCTCCGATGCTGTGAAATGTGTTGGGTGTCCCGGCTATCAGGATCTGACCTGGATTGGTAACTGCTGTACTGAAAAACAAATTAAAATCCTGTTTATATGATTTTCTCCTTTAGTAAATGTATGATTTCATCCATTTCAAACTCACAAACAGCACTTGGCATCGTGGAGAGAAATTATACTAAGTGAAAAATGATTTAACTTCAGTCTTGTAGCAAAATGCAGTTTTATGTCGGAGCTGAAATGAAGGTTTTTTTTTGTTTTATGGTTATTATCACGTTAAAGATTGATGCTTTGAAGGATGGTGTTATTCTGCCATTTCCTCTGCTAAACACGGCGGAGTTACAATAACATTTTGTGGGACGGATTGTTCATAAAATCATCCCGCATCTGCACAGCGGACCTGGCTTCAGCCTGACAGCCCTCAGCGATCATTCATGCTGCCTGTTTTTTATTAGTTATCCTACGAAGCTTCATTAAGACAGGAAGAATAAATATAAACTCAGAAGTTAAAGATTTATAGCGACGGAAATGCCTCCGAATTGTTTTGCCGCGCACTCCGAAAAGACTTTCCTTCTCGCTCTTTGCATGATGTGAATCCGTCTCCGTGTTTTATGACACCGCGATTCCCGTAAGTGGCTACAGCCGCAGAATCCATCACAGGGGGGTAAAAATGTGTGTGAAAAATGCCGGATCAGCGCAGCGTACTGCTTGAATATTAATCGCTAAAGAAAAACGCTAGGAGTCGGAGTTTGCCATCGCCCGGGAAGCGCATCCTGGCGCATTTGGGTGGGGATGGAGACAAGAGACTGAGTTCAGCTGCTAATCCCAAACAACACCCTGCACCACACAATCGGAAGAGAAACATCTGGCTTTCCAAACCACAATACAGTATTTTCAATGCAACATTGGTTTTCCGATTCATGATCGTTCTTTCCAACGTGGGACATGGTTACCCACGCATGAAAGCTGGAGGTCCAGGCCGCAAGCAGTGACCCGTAGCCAGGCCGCTATTGCGACCGCCAGCTGATATCCAGGCCGCAGCGCGTTTGCCGGCAGGATTAATGAGTCGGGCGTGCGTCTGTCAGAGTGAGAGTCCCCTCAGGTCAGGGCGCGCTGGCGCCTCGGCTCGCAGCCTCTGTAACACCATCTGGCAGCGCGGCCCTGGTTGTTTTTAGAAATGCTGCTGATCTTGCGTTTCTGCTGCTTCTCCCCCCCCGAGGATACGTGTCCCATTAAACTGTTAGGTACAACTTTCTACATCTGCATATCTCCCGGCCGCCGCATTCGAGACGACCGCAGAGCATCGCGATGGGGGAAATATTAAAAATATTGATTTTATCATTTATTACTCCGCTGGCTGTATTGATTGCCATGCTGGACAGCGTCCAGGCGATATGTCTTACGGGGGCGGCGGGAGCGGGAATGAGATCATGCAGGAATCGCTAATGAAGCGCAGGCCCCGTCGGCAGCCCGATTCTCGGGGTGAAGTCCCATTAAATGTTTTTCGATGGCACTGTGGACCCAGGATAATGGGGTTTATCGCGCTCCTGCCCCCGTGGCGCGTGACGCCATAATCTATCCTCACAGGCGCACATCCCAGGGACAGCCGGTCCCTCTTTTGTGTATTTCGGAAGGCCAGGCTGCTGGTGGCGCCCTCTAATGGCTCCCGGGTTTTGGCGTTATGTTAGTTTGTTGGTGGGACTCGTCACCTTCAGTGGCTGAACTTTTAATCTCTCCCGTTATGCTGTGACACGCCAGTGAATCTGAGCAGTGATGACATCGCAGGTGATAACGAATGATTATCGATTAAACAGCAATTAAGAATCAAAGCCTGCATTAGATGTCCCTCCTGGGCCTGGCTTGCAAAAATTTCAGTCACAAGATTGTGCCCTGAGCAACTATGCCACCTGCTGATCATAAAGTGTCTTTAAGACCCCATTTTACCTAGAACCTGATTGGTGCTGGGATTATCAGAGATGCACATGCCATCACTGGTCACATGTTGCATGGCCTTAAAGTTACCCAGAACAACACAATCGTGAATATTATTTTTTATTTAGTAGACACTTTTATCCAAAGCAACATACATGTATTTTGAGAAAATGAGAGTCAGACAGCAACTGGGAGTTAATCGACCCAATGGAGAAATCACTCTGCAAGCCCTTGGATTTGAACCAGCAACCTTCAAATTAGAGGCACAGTGCCCTGACCCACTGAGTCACCCACCACCACATTATGTTGGGTCATGGCACAACCGATGCGAACATCCGACCATTTGGTGCAGTAACCCTCTCGTTGTAAGTATGTATGTGTTTTACTCTCCAGTCGCAGAGGTTGTGCTTTGGAAAGATGTTTGATAAATACAGTACAGCACAGCTACGTTAAAAAGCAGAAGGTAGGGGAGTGTGGAAGGGACAGCCAGAAAACAGCAGCAGCCCGTCCCATATGTGTCCGTCTGAGGCGCTTAAAGGTGCTGAAAAGAAAGGAATGCAGAGACAGGACATTACTGGGTCAGGCTGCTGGGCCCCCGTAGAAACGGGCCTCTCGGTGGATTGATGGTGGGTTGTTTCAGTTAGTTGTTAACATTGTGTAACTCAGATAGTTGATGGCATTTGTTAAGCCTGAATCTTAAGCACAGAGACACGTAAAACATTGTGCCACCTGTCATCTTTTTTTTAAAATATGTGTTGCAAACATACTGGTAGCTTTGGTGGCTCGTGGGGGGTGGCCCCAGGTACGTGATGGATTCCTGTGGGCTGCAGCATGGGGGCGCCCTAGAGCACAATCAGCACGCCGGCGCCCCGGATTTTGTCTCTGCCCCCTAGATGAGGAGCGCTAATGTTTATCCGCCGCACTTCGACCCAGGAAACCTCAGTTAGCTCTTTTCACGACGGGCCGCCAAAGCTGCTTTCCGCTGCCTTTAATTGCACCCCATTAATTAAACAACGGGCCAAGCAATCGGGCCCCTCTTTCAGGGGGAATCGGGGTGGGGAGGGATTCGAAAGGCCTAAAAAACTACTGAAGCTGCTGTGTATGAACGGGTTTTTAATGATACCATCTTCAGCTTTGAAATCTGTTGTAATAAAATTTCTACTCTGCTAATTTAGGATAATCCAGAAAGTCTGAGGATTAAGTCCTGCTCATCCTTTTAAATTGGGTTTCCAACACATTTTCCATTTAGACCATCACTCTAAAGGCTAATTTGGACTAACAAAACCGGAAATGTATACAGTAATGCATTTAACCCTGAAAGTCTTTAGTATTCTACCTGGATTGTGATGTTAATTAAATTACAAATTCTTCACTAATTATGGAACAAGATCTTTCCTCTGCATGTGAGCTTGGCCCCCAGTTGTAAATGCCGGAGTTCATGCTGTAAACCTCACAAATGACACATAATGGTCGACCTTTTACAGTGCATTTGTTTGTTTGGCCTGGATTTTCTTATCTGAATCCACGGTCTACCCCGAAATGTCCGTGTATGCCCTGCTACCTGAAGCCTGGGCAGGTCTCTCGGGAGTTCTCCAGATAAATGACACTGATTCAGCTTCATTCCGTAATCGCTAATTGATTATTCCTGGCGTACCTCAAGGCTCTATCCTAGGTTCGCTCTGCTTTTCCATCCTCAGCCGCCAGATTCCTCTGTCACCTCCCCCGACCTGTCGTTCCCTCACCCCCCCCTCCGCCGTTTCTTCAGTTACTCTCCACCGTCAGCTTGTAGAGAACATGCTGAGTGGGCTGATCTCCTCCTTCTCCATGACGTCTCTTTCCTCCTGCTTATTTTTCTGCCCGCTTCCCAGCAGCCCTTCCATTCCAGCTAATGATCTGAGGGCAAATTAAGTCCCCTGCCCTTGTCTCTAAATATTACCAGTTCCTCTAATCTGATATTCATAACATTTGGTTATTCCTAATAAAGTATTCCACACAACGAGGCCTATGTAAATTCTTCGCCCAGATTGCTCCAATTATCTTGTCATTTGGCTTTTGTCTCACACACAGCGACTTCCTGCCGCTTTATATGTAGATGTATGATCAATAAAACAGGGGCTTGTGACCCGGTCATGTTTTTAATTAACCCTGTACACCTGTCTCTGCGTGAATCCTCGTTAAGTGGCTGCGTTACACCGCAGCTTCAGATATAAATGGCGCCGTACATTTTCGGTCAGTGCCGGCTGTAACCTTGAATAGCAATATTTCATAACAGATAAAAAAGTAAATATATATATAGTGTGAACAGAGCGAAGGCTAATAATGGCAGAGGAATGCAGAGTGGTGAGGATGTTTCTATCCCTGCTCCTGTTTATAGACACACACATACAGGCTCACACGCATGCGCGTGCGGTACGACACATGTCCAAAGGGCCGCGGCATTTCCTGTGCCATGACTTTGTGGATTCCTTGAGTGATCTGTTCAATCTGGGGCTGGCACATCCAGGAATATGGGGAGCGGCGTACTGCGGCAGTGAACAGAAACGTGTGTAATGTGTAATCTGACTTGGTTTTGGAACATGGGATGTGTTCTTAACTGTCGATATAAATGACAAAAGTTAAAGTGTATGTTAATCAGAGTACCGTTTCATGTTCTTCGTTCAGCTGCATTTGGTTAAGATCTTCAAGGGTACAACAGAAAATCCCTCTGTTTCAGGCTTGTCCTGACCCGAATCTTCAGATGTGTCCCTCATGGTTGTCACCCCTGCCCCCCACGTCCTTGTGGTCAAACTGACACAACCCCGCTCTATGCAAGCCCCTGAAAAACTGCTGTAGTTCTTCTTGAAGAGTTACTCACGCGGGTCTTTTTTTACGCTCCGGAAGTGTGGGGTCTCCCTCAGCAGAGAGCAGTTTTGCCCATAAGCTGTCCGATTGAGTCATTTGCATCAGGAAGCAGCTCTTCTTCTGGGACTGCAAGAAGCTAGTTAAGGTTAGTTTGTAGCTCACCACCACCCTTGATGTTCTTTTCATGCGTGTGACCATCAGTTACCCCCCCCCTCTAATCCACCTCCCCCAAGTGTCATCGAGAGAGACGGACTCCCATTTCCTCACTGACAGCGAAAATTGCCGATGCCCGTTTTGTTTTCACCAGTGCCTGATGGGATGGGGACATTCGTCTGACAGCGGTGAGCCATCAAGCGCACTCCTCTTATCCGCTGTCATTGTTAAGTGTTGCCACGGCGACAAACCTTGACCCGTGAAAGTCGTTCCCTGTCAGACTCGCACTGTCCGTCACGGTTGTTAACGTGGGGCGCCTTTCGTCCACGACGTGGCGTCTGCCCCACACTGAATAAACAAAAAAAAATCCTTGTGTTAGATAGTATATTGTCCAATCAAATGTGCAGGGAAGCCAGTAATCCTTGAAATGAGTCTCCTCCCAAACATCCAGCACATAGAGGCATTGTGCCATTTATACAGTCCATTAAAATCCTCTTAACTACCCAGAATGCCTTGCTGTTCTCCACACTTTCTCGCATGTGCAAGGTGCTGCCCCCCCAAGGTGATTTTAAACATACACACTATAAAATACTCAGTTACACCCAGTCTACTTTAAAAATATACGCAGTGTTTTAAAGGGGCAGATTCAACATTATCCAGATGAGTGAATATTAGTGCAAATTAACTCCTGGTTACAGCCCTCTAAAAAGCAATGGGTACTAATTACCAATTACCTGGATGCTGTTATGCTGGAAGACCAGGTTAAAAGCAAAGTTTTGAGGTAAAATAAATGTAAATGAAAAAAGCATTTCAAAAAGTTGATTAATAATTTCTACTGTAATTAGACTCTGTAGTGATGTCCGGCAGAATTGAACAGTATAGATCATTTAATTCTGGGTACAGGTATGGGCATCCCTGTAAAGAAACTAACGAATAAAAAACAAATTGCAATTATGAGTAATTCTGTACCTATGTCACATGATCACAAAAACGGATTCTGATTGGCAGGTGTGGAAGTCATGTAATTTGCAGATGGTGGCTTTTAGAGACCTGTTAATGTATAAATTACCATGGAAACATACCTAGCAGTAATGGGTTAGTAATTTATAAGGACCTTGATCTTAAGCTCTTGTATTTTTGAATAGATGTACAGTGCTACGCAACCTTTGAGCAAACTTCTTCAGGGTGTTGAATTAGAATCTCTAAAATAGCTGAAGTATCCTCTTCCACGTTGATTATGGCAGCTGTTGACAGGACAGGAACCTTTTCCATTACAGGCCCACTAGGCACTTTGTAGGGGCCGCCTGTCTGGTGTCCCGAGCCCTTGTGCGAGGAAGCCGCTCAGTTCCACGGTGAGATTGCCGACACACTGCGGTCCATAGATGGGAATTGATTGGTGTTGGCCGTACCTGGATTCAGATCCTATCAGGCATGAAATGAAGAAATCCAGTCATCCCTGAATTAAACGTGCCTTTTGACTTTTTTATTTTTTTCTCACGCAAAGGAATAAAGCACGTCGCCCTTAAACTTCAGGGGGCTCTGCGTTCAGAGACAAAAGAAATCAGTGATAGAAAAAACAAAACAGAAAAAAATGTGTGTGGGCTGATCTCTATCCTGTTATCCATACCATTTATCGCTCTTCAGAATGCACCCCCCCCCCCCCCCCCTCCCGTAGTTGATCTCTGTCCTCCCCTCTGGAGAGAAAGACCAATACTGATAACTGACTCCCACCTGGGGTGTGACTCCTATTACGAGTGAGAGCTATGTTAGCATGCTAGCAAGGATGCTAATGAAGACACTGGGCTGGGGAACACTATTTGGTCCACCTCCGTTGTCAATAAACCACACTGTAATGCCCCCACCAGCGCTCCCATGCCCGGTCCGGAGCGTGGGAGCCCACTCCAGGTCACACATGCCCATCATACCTCATACACACTGAGAGGAGAGTGGAAGCGGCTGAACAGAACCCAACGCTGCCTTAATGCATCTTTAAACGGGATTTTCCTCCAGTTCTGCCTAACCTGCTTCGGCTTGTTCAAGGGGGCACCATAAAAGAAAATTTGGAAGATAATGAGACCGGTCTGGGTCGGGGCCCAATATGATATGCTTTCATGGGCCCCAAAATCTCTAGCAGTGCATGGGATCATGGTAGAGTTGGTGTATAATTGACTCAGACAACCGAGTGCGCGCTATATCATTTTCACTGTCTATCAACTTTTTAATGAATAAATGTATTTGAATAAACCGCGATAGAGTGAAGCCACGAAAGTCGAAGCACGAAATGGCGAGGGACGACTGTATAGTATTTGTAGTTTGAATTTGATTCATGTGACGTGTGCGCATGCCTTTGTATTGTTTGATTACAGTATTTTACTTAAAATGGTGTTTGACTAAATAAATGTGACCATTGACTTTTAAATAACATCTGCATATCACGTTGTTTTGACTTAACAGGCCTAATCCATTTCAGGGAAGTTGATATACAGTGTCATTTGGCTAGTACTACTACAATGGGACATGATGCAGTTTCAAGTTTATAATTGTGTATCTTCAATTTGATGTTACAATTTCACCTACAAATTAAGTATAATTGAAATCAGTTACATATTTCCCATCCTTTAGACAGTTGTTGGTGTTAGCTGTTTTGTCAGATGACTTTGGGACCAGTCAGTACCCGTCATGTCAGTCCTCAACAGCACACAAAAGTTAAGGGAGTCTTTTTTTCGGTCTCGGTCTCGTCTCCACTTTGTCTTGGTCTTGACTCGGTCTGTCTTGGTCTTAGTCTTGGTCTTGTCTTGGTCTCTATACCCACAGGTCTTGGTAGTGTCTTGGTCTTGGTTTAGGTGGTCTTGACTACAAGTCTAGGTCATGTCCGCATCGGCAGTAATAAAACCTGGAAGCAGTGGCTCGGTGCAGCGGACGGGGAACTTTAGGCAACCCCCAGAGGATGTGCGGGAAGCAGAAAGATACACTTTTTCTTTTTAATAATTAATTTTAAGTAGAGCTGTGGATTAATTGAATAAAATACATTTTAATTATAGAAAAACGTTTCCTGATGCTCTTCCCTGGCCGCTGTATCTGTAATTGCCATTCACAAACGGTTTTGCCCCCCCCTCCCCACGCCCCCCGGCCTTCGCCTCCTGTTTGGCTTTTTTGAAGCTGCTCCCCGAGTGTGATTTTCACAGGCCGCTTTAATGAGGGAGACCCACGGCGATATCGACCGTTCAGTCGCCCCGGGCTAAAGTTCCCCTCTTCCTCACCGTCCTTCATCGATCTCGGTGTGGGAAAGACTGACGGCGTCAGAGCGCGAGAATCCAGCCCTGGAATGTTCTGCGAGCCACCCCACCCTGGAATCGTCTGCATCTTCCACGTGTCTGGATGCCACTCTGCCGTTTGTAACATGTCCGAATAGCATGTGATGTGTCGGCACTATGCAGAGTCTGCAGGCTGCGGGTCTCGGGGTGTGGCAGGTGGGGGTCGTTACTCATCAGAACACGTAATGTGTATCAGTGAAGGCCAGTTGCATGGTGAAAGATTAACACCCCAAGACCATCTGTGGCTCAGGAAGGGTGTGCGTGTTACACACTGATGGGGACGTCCCGCACTGACAGCCTCCAGTGAAACATTATATGTAATTAAACGATAATAGACATATTATGTTATTGGTACCGTGTTGAGATGACTTGTGCCATCTTCTGGGGGGGGGGCAGTCCATAATAATAACCCCCTGGGGCCCACATCAGTTGCCTTGCCAACTGGACTTTGACTGGTGCTGATGAGTGATAGCCCCATGGACCACAAACTGCACCCACTGACTGGGACTGCAGGCTGGAATTGCGGACTGCAACGTCACGGGCCGAGACTATGGACCAGGACTACAGCCTGAGACTATGGACTGGGACTGCAGAGTCAGCCTGTGACTGTCGAGAACGTGGCAGGGAACGGACTTCAAATGTTCCAGATCCATGTGCCCAGGACTGGCAAACTCTGTGTGCTGTGTACCCTGAAAGGCTTGTTCTGAGTCGAGTTCTCCCTGGGGAATATAGCACCCCCCCACCCCCCACCTGGATGCCATTGCCTGGTTCAAAACAAACAGAAGCTCAGATATGGGCGCGCGTGCGGGCGGGTGGGCGGGCAGGATGACTGTGCATAACTCCACTGAATGATAATACGTCTGAATTTCACAGCCAGAATGCTAACGGCGCTAATGTCTTATCTGTTCTTAAATAAGAAGGGCATCTTAGGACTCAGAGGGTACATATCCATTCTTTGGGTTTTCACTCGACTAACATGGAAAAAAGAAACGCAGAGATCACCTTGATCCGTACCGAGATGGATGATCGATGGCTGGATTTTGTTCACGGTGCCGAGAGAGCAGCAGGATCTCTGGACGTGACGGCCGTAAAGCTAAGCAGAGGAGTGGGAGGGGTGCATCTCCATGGCATCACTTTCACTGGATCGGAACCCTCCCACCTCTGAAGTTAACCCCCCCCCCCCATCACCCCGGCACAGAAAGCCTGTCCTCTGGATTAATGCCTGAGAGCAGAATCCAGGAGTCCTGTCAGAGAGCAGCCGGGGAATTTACACAGCCGCTCTCGTGGCGTTTAAATCAGGCCACTTACGTTCGGGGTTTTTTACGCGCAAAAAAGTTTGAAAACAAACCTGTTTATGAAGGACGCCCACATACTAATGTGAGTTCAGGGATAGTGTGTTTCTCTTTTTTAGACATTACATATTCCTTTGTATGGGAGGTTTAATATCTAACAGCGATTTGACTTGTGTGCCACAATGAACATGTTTCTCATTTTATACCGATATTTTCTGTTTCTCCGTCCTGTAAGGCACAGACCCCCTTTAACAAAGCAGCTTCTAAGGATTAAGGTCTGAAAGTACGTATGGGGGGGGGGGGGGGCTGTGCTCGAGGCCTTGTGCTGCCATAAAATACTGTGATCCAAACAGGCGCCGCTGAAGTCGCGGGTCGGTGGCGGGCCGTCGCGATCTTTCACGGTCGAAACCTCACTGCTTTTTAATAGTGGCAGCCTTGAACATCATGTAGCAACAATGGTGCCCAAGGTCTAAGGAGGGAAAAAGCAATTTGTGCTGAAATTTAATAAAAGATGAAATATAGCGAAAAAAAATGAATATTTCTGACATTTATAAATTGACACCCAGCCATTTTAGATGAGACTGAAATATATAGTGCAGGTTAAAAAAAATAGTTAAGGGAATGAAATACAAGTTTTTATCTTTGAACGTTAAGAAGTTTCGCTTCATTAAAGGTATCTGTTGGGTCTGACAAGACGAAAATTGAAAACGAGCCCGAGATGAACCAGGAGACGGGAGCAGAG